TCTTTCTTGGCATTTCTTTTGCTTGTGTTGGTACAGTACAATGTAAATACAGAAGTAACAACCAACACTTTGACTGAGGACTATTTAAGCACTAATAATATCAAAGCTTATATGCTAAAAGAAAAAAGATGCTGTTTCTTGCAGCTTTGGTGGACACTTGCTCTTTCATGGTAACTGAGTCAGCTCTCTTACCAGATTTGTGAGCCTAAGTAAAAACCATGTATCTCACTGTCACCTTGCCTGGGACTTGAAGTTACGACTCTGTTTGATACATGTGATTGTCAACAGCTGAACAATTGACTGCCAAAGATGTGTCTTGTAAATCAGAATATCTGAGTTCTGTTCTAGGCTCTGCCACTTTTGAAATACCTTTTATAAAGTCAAATCAACATTCTGGCCTGATGTGTGCTTGCAAGATCTGTGTGACTTTAGCAGGTGTACAGATCTGATGGAGGTAGAGTTTGGCCTGTGGTTTTGAGGTTTTTGATATGCTGAAGAAAACAACTAGGGTATTTAAGTTGCTATTAACTACTGATAGATAGAATTTACACACCTTAGTTGTGGATGATAGGCTCTGTTCTGCTATCAGTGAGAAGAATGTCCTTCACAAAATATGAATAAATGACTTTGCAATATGCTCACTGTTTCCACCATATGGATGATATAGTCCAGTGTTTGTCTACAGCACAGTAGAGAGAATTTTTCTTTGATGATGCCTAGGCTGATAACGTGTATCTGCAGATAAACACGTTTGAGTGATAAAAGACAACACGAGAGTCTTAGGCTGTCAGCTGGGGTCAACATGTTACTTATTGTCATCTCTTGGGAGATTTCTATAAGTCAGGAGACTATATTTTTTCCCAATATATTGCTGTTGAACATTAATATGTGTCTGTTTCCTATTGACATAAACATTGTTTTATATATAAACATTGACTTACTGCAGGCCAACCACAGGCAGTGCACCCCAGCTTTATTTTCCCAACATAAAGTGAATAAACTGTTAGACTATGCCTTTGAGTTCAGAAGACATAAATTGAGACTGCAGGTCTGGTTGGATTGTAATACAGTTTTCCAAGGTCAGTGGTGGAAGCTCTTTCACTGAAGTCATTAAAAAACAAATGAACAAAAGCTTTGAAACATGGAGTGAAGGGAACAACCTTGCATTGAGTAGGGCATGATGTGGTTTCCTTCTAATCTTTCCATCTCTGTTTTCTGTCCAATAACATTAACTGTGTAAGGAATATATTTATGGCAAGGTTTAATGGGCCCAGTTTCACTCCATCGGGTTTTATCTGGGTGCCAGCCAGTTTACTGTGAAGTCAGTGTCCATAAAGTGTAATGAAGGACTCCATGGTGTAACTGCATTCATATGCGGTTAGGGTTATAGTTCCCATTAGTAGTTTAGGCCAGATTGTGATCTCATTTATTCCAGTGCAAATCCAGAATAATTCCATGTTGCTACTCCTGATTTACATTAATTATATTAAGATCAGCCTGGCCCAGTATAAATAAGACTACAGATCTCTTGGTACCATTGCTGCAAACTGTTCTTTTCTGTACTTACTGAAAGATGCCATGTTTTCTTAATAGTTTTACAGTTAGAAACCTAGCTTCAGATTTCTTCTGGAAAAAGACAAGACCAGCTCTGTAATGCTGCCCAGTATTATGTTGGCACATCACTTCAACATTACCCTGCTCCAAAGGCCTATTTTTCCAGTGTGCTACACCCAGCATATCATATAGATGAGAGTGAAGCACTACCAAAACTAACTGTGTTGGTGTAAGTGATCTTGAGAAAGTGTGGAGAACCAGCCACTGCTGAATCTCAGAACATCCTCCAATGGTGTTTTAAATCTACATCCTTAAAGGTCTCACCAGTAAATCAGACTTCTTCATTCTGCTTATAGTATGAAGCTTAAGCAAGCAGCAAGACTGTAGAGAGATATAGCCTTCCTTTATCTTGTGAAGTAGTTTTCTCAGGGGAAAAAAAAGAGGGTAAGAATTCTTTTCCAGTGTTTTAGTGGACATATCTCAGCCACAGCAACTTATATATTGTGATGACAAGCAATGTATAAATGCCTTCTGTGCACAGAAAGGCAAGAGAACCAGTTACAAAAAGTGTCAGAGCTGATTCAGAGCGCAAAAATGAAGAGGAGAGGTTTTAATCAACTTTATTTCTGGTACTGTCCTCCCCTCCTTGAGCTGCAGGAGCAGTGCAGTTTAGTCATACCATGTAAAGACTGGGGATTTGCCTCTTGCAACATGGAAATCACACTGCAGGCAAATGTGTACAATACTGCCCTTGCTCCTTTGTAGGAGGCCACTGTCATAAAAAATGGTGAACAAATTGCTTCTTATACTTGACTAAAGTGTTTTGTGAACTAAGACTTCTTTACACACACAGCTGACCAATATGACATTTCATTGCCTACTACACCTGTGCTGACATCAGAGCAAAGCAGCATAGCTGCCAACAGAATGAGAACTTGATTGCTGATGTATAAAACCAGCCCTTGTGTAAAGCTCCTTGCGCAGGCAGAGGGAATGTCTTTTATGTGTCTCAAGTTTAACTGAGTGTCTCATCTAAGCTGGGTTACATAAACTAAAATTATCCAAATTATCCAAAATTTTTGCAAATTTTATTTCTTCAAATGAAAATACTCATACTAAAGCTGAGCAACCCAACTATTGCAGAGGCAGAAGGAAGCCTAATGAGACAAAGAAAAACAGACTTCCCATAACTGAGTCATGCTGGAAGCTTTTTTCCCTTTATGTCTAGAAGTCTGAACATTTAAATTGGTGCATATGAAAGGAAATCCTGCTGGAGGAAAGGTGCTCCAGTAAGGCAGGGGGTTCTTGAAGAGATGAAAGGGCTTAAGGAATTCATGAAGGACTGCATTCTGTCCCAGTGCAATATAGTGGTTTTACAGCAGGGATCTGTGTCTTTTCTATAAGTAGAAATGCTTGGAATAAAAAATAGGAGACAATTTGAAGTCAGCTGACTGGTTCTCTTCCTCTCTTTGGTAGCAATTGCCTGTGTCATTTGATCAAACTCTGTCTCTCGTGACATCTCTTTCTGGATCAGTAAACACAATGTTGTCAAACTTAGCTGTTCAGGCTGTGTTTCTGCAGTGGGTTGTGTGTTTACTGATAGGAAATGACAGAGTAGGATATTTGTTCACTGAACCCTGAACTCTCTCCAATGAAGCTGGAGAAAGGGCAGCCATTGAAAAGGCACTCAAATATGCTTTTGAAGAATATTTATTTACTTGCTTTTGAGAGGCTAATTTTTCACTAGTTGATGCAGTCCGTGGGCTCCTATTGGTGTACAGTACAGTTTGAAAGTCACTGGACTAAGGCAGCTTTTTTTTTGGTATGATCAGAGAAGGCTATACTAGAAGGACTCTCCAGAGAGAAAGAATGCATCATTTTGTCACAAAAAAAAAAAGAATAATCTAGCCAATCTATTCTTGGTCAGAATTCTGTGAATGTTAAAAGGAGAAAGATCATACTGTTAGGAGGCCTGATAAACCAAATCTTTTCTTCCTTCCTCTAAAAGGAACATGATTAGGATTAAACTTCAGGAAGCTGTTCTAAGTGGGATGGTAAGGAAATGGTGCTATAAATTGTTGAATGTCCATATCAGCTCTGGAACCAGCATAGAGAAGGGTGGCAGTTTCAGTGTATTTCATGTTGTGGAAAGGCACTTCTGAAATTGCTTGTCCCTCTGTAAGAAAACTACTGTCTAACTTTATCATTTAAACCACAAACCATGGATTTTCCATAACTAATTTTCATTCATAGTTTTGTGATGTTCGAACCTTTCAGTGCAATGTAATTTTCTGCATAATTACTGCCTGTAGTTTTGTGAGGTCTGTTGATCACACTGTGTGTGTGGTCATGGTTTAGGTTGAGCTCAAAGTTATAGTGGTCACTAGAAACATAAAAAACACCAGATGGAGCCAAACCTGGGGGACATACATACAAAGTGGGACATACACCTCAGGATCTATGTCCTCCTTTACACTATAGAAGATGGAAGATCCATGCAGAAAGCAGCTGTCGGAAAAAAAGAAAGTCCTTGACCACACAGATGATAGAGATCTGCTTTAGTTCACAAAGTGCAGGTTTAGGTTTCAGGGAAAGTTCTGCTACCTATCATAGCTCCAGATGTTCTAGAAGAGTTTGGTACCTCTAAACAGCACAGACTCACTAGCTTCAGTGCCACTTTGCTCAGTAAGTCCTGTGGGCTCTGCCTTTACATGTATTTCCTTTTTGTCAGTTCTGAATTTACCTCCTTTCAATTTCACTGTATTAAAATGAGATAGGATAAGATGTAGTTTATCTATACTGCTTGTTATCTCTCCACTCTGAGACAAGCAATCTGGTCTTTTCAGTGTCTTCAAACAAGACATGGTCCTAGCTTGAGCAAAAAGTACAATCATACAGAATTTACACTACACTGTATGCAGGTTCTAAGCTCACTGAGATGGGAATAAATATGACATAGCAGTTTCTAAAGACAGGAACAAATTGCTAGTAGATTATCTATGGAATAATACATAATATTTTGTTGATTAATAAACTTTGTCAAGGTTGCACACTAATTTTCCTGTGAAATGGATCACTTCAGTGAACTAACAGCACTATTGATTTCGAATCAACTCACCAGCAAATGCATCTTCATTGTTTGTTTTCTCAGCTGGATTCCAATTTCTGGACATAGTTACTGTTCATAAGTACTTACCGTATTACTGCTGGAAGAAATTATTTGCTATTTGTGCCCATATAATATAGCTTTTGGTCCTTGAGTGAATAGCTAAATTTTTTAAATGCTGACTTTTGCAACTACTATTGTTTGTACATGACAGCACAACTGATTGTATTTTATTTAAGAAAACAAAGCAGTCTATCTGGACCATTTAGATATTAAAGAGGCTTAAAAGACAGCAGAAGAAATACATTAATGTTGTTTACTCATTTATTGACTACTCCAGTCTTTTCCATATTAAGACTCTTTAACATACTTCATACATATATCACTTCACACAAAATTCTGTATGAGTTTTAGTTAATTGAAATATTTTCCACAACACTGAGAAGTTCAGCAACTAGCTAGTGCATAAAAATCAGAACACAAAAATAGCTCAAGAGTCCAGGTCAGTGATCTCACTGAGTGTAGTTGATAAGACAAACAAGTAGTAAAAAAATGGAAAGTTTATTTTGTTTAAATTATTTTCCTTTAAATACTGAAAGAGATTCTCTGCAGTTAGACGTTTGAACATGATTTATAAAAACAAACCCAACTCTGCAATAACTTACAAATGACCAAGGAAACATCAATGTGTAGCTACTCAGACCTTAAGTGACTAAATTTTGGGGGAATATTTTCCTAACTTAATTACTTTACAGCTGGAATTTTACAGAGATGAGAAATTTTGAGATCTAGATTACAGTTACATGTATTGCTAAATAATTATGATTTATTTATTTATTAAACAATTAAAGACAGATAATTAGATAAGAATTGTAAGAAAGACAACTAATGTTGTGCATTAATTAAGCTCATGTCAGTATTCTGTTAGTTGCCCTGGAATACACCATTACCTAATAAGTAGTTTGCTAGCAGAGTGCAAAGGATATTTCTCTGCTTTCTGTCTTTGTGGCAGGACATACAGCAGTCTGCTTTTAGTCTTAAGTAAAAAAATACGATGTTTTTTCATGAGTCTGTTGATCTGGGCACTAGGTGAAAGAGTCAATGTTTTGCCCTTCTCTTGCTCATTCCCCCTCCCTCTGCCAGACAGTAGGGGAGAAGCAGCCACGTACCTAGAAATACCAGGAGTCTGGGCAACTTTGAAATACTGTGGCTATTTTTGGTACATCTGGATGATAAAATGGTGAAGAGATTAATTTAGCTGTTCAAGTTTGGAAAACAGACTCTACCAACTAATGTTAATTCTTCTTTAATATGTATAAATAGGAATTGTACGCAACTTCCAAGGAGCAGAGGTGCCTTTACTATTATTTGCAAAAAATGCTTTGAGATGGCTTACATGCCTTCAGTGAGTTGGATGTAAATTTAAAAAACAGACACTGCAACAATGAAAATTTCTATATGACCAGAAAAGGAATCCGCAAAACCTAGTGCATTATCCAAGTATCTCAACCATGCACAGAGAGAACTGGGTTCCACAGAATGGGGTAAGAAAGTCAGTGTGTTGAAAGAGAGTCACTTTGAGCTGCATACAGGGAACCAATCACTGACCATACAGATTGAAATTAAGTTCCCACTTCTTTCTAGTGTCTACATTTGGGGTGTGTGTGTGTGTGTAGCATAAGTTGCCTAAGAACTAGGGGCATGTTCCCTTACTGGGCTATCTAGAGCTGTGCAGGTGAGCACTGAGCATCTCCTTTGCTTTAATGAGTGCTGTTTCAGCTGGTGTTTCCATGTGAGGAAGGACCCCTTTCCCTTCCCAAGAAGTGCTCTCTGCAGAGGTGATTGATCTGGAGGTGGGGATGATGATGTAGAAGTTCGTATCATTTACTTGATACGTCTGTGGAGAATGGCAGCCACCGCTGGTCTGTTCCCCAATGATGAGAGCTCTGCCCAGTCTCTTCATTATGTATACAAACTCTTCAGCAGCCCCAGCTGTCACAGCACTGGTAAGGATTATTAGTCCCTTCTGAGAGCCATACCTCTCTCCTGCCAGACAAGACAAAAATAATCAGAAATGCAACCATTTTCAGAGATTTATTTGCATAATGGAGCAAGAAAAGTCTTAATTTCCTACTTGTTATTACCAAAGAAGTTTGGAAATATACTTTGTATCTATGATGGTATTAAAACACATTTTACACTAGTCCAGCCTCTATACTGTAAAGACTATTGTCCTATGTGGTACTCTTGTTCTACATTTCTGGTTATAAGCTCCAGCAGCTGGGAGGCCAGCTCATGGTTACTACTGCTGGCTTTTCTGTGGCTTTGACTTACACGGGAGCTCTAGATCTCATCAGAGGACTGGTATAGGTGGGTGAGGAAAGCAACATTTTCCGCTCCTTCAGCAGAAATACTCAAAGCTGAGCCAGCAACATCTTCAGTTTCATCCCTGCTCTAGGAACATGGCTGTCAGAGAGCTGGCCTGAAAACTATGCAGGCGGCATTTTATGAAATTATAATTATAGTGGTTTCCCACAGGCTCTTTATAGTCTATAAATGGAAGCTGTTGCATGGCCTTTGTCCCAATCCCTTCAACAAATGCCCCTTATTAGGATCTGAGCCAAGTTATCTCATTTTCTTACATAAACCAGCTGACAGGAGTAGGACGTGTTTTGTACCTATTTTCAATGTATTGGAACAGCCTAGATAGTTTTTGAGGTTTAGTTCCTTTGAAAAAGTGGCCAAAGCATCATAACTGGGACCTAATAACTTGAAAACTACTATAAACAAAGTAATTCTTTAAGTGAGTTGCAGTATGACGTATAATTCTTAAACTGTAAGAGAGGGGCCTATAGCATGGTAATTAATTTCCACACCATCTTTGCCCTTCACATTTCACTATAGATGTAGTATCCGTTAGAAGACCTTTTTCACAGTAGATACGTATATATAATACAGGATCCGATCCAACTCCTTTGAAGTTAATATGAGCCTGCCTGTTCTCTTTGGTGGGAACTGGAATGTGTCTGTAGTAATTATATCCCTTAGCACAGCCCACCTCTGACCGCCTGGGAAAATAGATGGACCCTGCAGCCTGTGATAAAGTTTAAACATTTCAGTATGGTCCAAGCCAGTAATTGCAGACACTATTGTGACACCATTTTTTTGTTTTTTTTGGTACTGTCTTAGCTTTAAAAGGGAAAAAGAATTAAAACTAATGTTTAAGGCTTCTTAGCACTCTAGCTGCACTCTATGAGCACTCAAGAGCTCCATTTCTGCATGTTACTGCATCCTTTCAATTTCCACAAACAGCAGCCAGGGTGTGTGTGTTGAGGGGTGTGTGTGATACATTGCCAAATAACCTAAACTCACTCACATGTGAATGTGCCAAATAATCTAAACTCACTCACTTTTCTTTCTCTCTAACATTTTGTGAGCAAACTGGGCTATTGTGAGTGTTTTCATCTACTGAAATTGTGAATTACACAGGTAGAAAGTGAGGGGATACATATAACACCGTGAGTATTGGAAGAAATATTACAAGAGGTCTAGGCAACACAGATTTATTTTTAATTTTGGCAACTTCTAAAAAAAACAAGTTCCAACCAGTATAAGCAGTATTCAGCTAAACTTCTGGGAACCAGTTTACAAACCTCTGTGCTTAACATACCCCATTCCTAGGAGCAATAAACTGTTACTTGTAGATAGCATTGGGGAACATGGCTGAAATGCACATTTTTGTTTTAATATTCTCTGCACAGCTTGAATTAATAGTGGTCATGTGCTTTCACCAAATGAGTTATGGTTTCTAATGGCTGACTTTAAAATACCCAAGGAGGGACAGCTGAAATGAAAAGCTACTCTAAAAAGAAATTGACATTTTACCTTTCAGCTGTGGCTCAGTCCATATTTCCTTTACTGAGTCAGTGGGTCTGTCATAAACTTTGTCCAAGAGAATTTTATGTCCTTCATCAAAGAAGTATGAGCATAGGATTGCTATGGAAGTGGTGGAGCCTCCAACATTGTACCTTTTCAGAAATTAAAAATATTAAGGAAACAATTGAAAATTTGAAGCAGACAGTAAGTCTCCTTTCCAAGTATTGTTCCTTAACATCAGTACTGAGAGGGGTTACGGCTATAATTTTTTACATTTACATTCATTCTCCCCTATCAGCATGTGTACATTTATCAAGAGAAACAAAATCCCGTCTAAGAGTCTTGGACTGTTATTGCCCACAACTGACTTCAAAAGCAAACATAAAACTGAATAGTCTCTTTTTTTTCTTGATTCAATTTGGAAAAAATTCAGAAAGTAAGCAAAGACTCTGAATCTGCAGAGAAACATCAGATTCTTGTTAGTCTTCTACTCTGAATAACCCATGCTGTTACTGACATATGCAGCAGGAGTAAATGCCTAAACCCCATTTAAGAAACATGTTTGTAGAATGTTGTGTTCTTATTTCCTGCTGCACACAATGGGAATACTCGGTGTTTGGCACTTTATAATATCACGCCATTTCTTTTTGTGCCTAAAGACTGTGTTAGCTGCTTCATTTAGGACAGTCACGTTTGCATACTTTGGTTGTAGTTTGATTTCGTACCAGTCTCTGAAGAATAAATTCACTGAGGAGCCTAACTGTCATTGGAGAACCCCTGCTATGAATACAAAGAATGGAATATCAAAGTATTTTTTATCTGTCCCTCTTCACTAGTACTACAGCATATACAGCACTGGAGATGTTTGTACTTTGATCACTACTAGTAGGAGATCGATATAGTGCTTTCCTATAGGTGATATTCAGAGTGCTTGATGCAGAAAATCCTTCAAAAACCTGCTAGGAAATGAGTTTTGCTCAGTCCAGTTCATAACTAAGTTTTTTCACCTCCAGAAAAGGATTAGAATACCCAGAAAGCCTCTGTCCAAAAGAGTGAAGTTACCCTTTTACTCTGCAGTATTTGGGAGCTGTATGCTGGCTTCACACCGTGACTGGCTAGAACTGAAATAAGACTTTTCAGTGTGTCCCAGATAGCAGTATGGTGTCATGAGGTCCCACTGCTGCTCCTGCACAGCTCAGGAGGCAGCTAGATCCAGAAGAGCCGTGATTCCCACAGCTACCATCATAGCTGAAATGAGTGGCAGGCAGCTAGAGCAATGCTGGAGAGCTTTTCCTGGGAGTCTCTTGCAGAGAGTGAAACTGCAGAAATTTTAGTCAGTAATAATGGCTGAGCAGTTGCTAAAGGTTTAGTTTAATTTCATTACAGACTTCATGTGTGACATAAAGAAAGCTGTTTAGTTTACCAGTGTCTCAGTGCTGTGAAAGTTAAAAACCAGAAGTTCATGAGTGGCACAGCTGTTCCAGGGAGGAAAACTTGTAAGATGAGAAACATTATTTGTTATGGCTAATCCATGCAAAAGGGAAATTATCAGTCTTGCCTTAAAATCATAAGATGGTTTAGGGAGAATTTCAGAAGGTAAAATGTTTGGAATTCTTTTTTATATGCCTTCAGAGACTGGGTCTTTTGTGTACACTCAAAGGACTAGAAATACATTAAATATAAAAAAATCCAAAAAAATACAAACCAAAATCAAAGTAACGCAAGAAAAGAACTACAGTGATACCAGTTGGTACCTGGTACATGATTTCATCTTTGCTGTTTTATTACCCCTGGCCCTGATACAAGTTTTAGCCTGGGAGAAAACTGGGGCAAGAGTGAGTAGTCCCAGTCCTATCTCAAGTCTATGGGAAGATGATGGTGGTGCCTTTGATGAATCTGAATTCAATTATGGGTGTGTTTTGTTGGTTGCTGCCCTGCCTCCTCTGCTCAAACAGTAAGATATTTCTCTCTGCTCTCACTGCCATGCTCATCTTTTCCTGCATATGCTCCAAATCCCAGAAGAATATTAAGAAGACTACTAAATATCAAAAGCCCCATGGTGGCATTGGACATTAATGGTTCTAGCATTAAAAATGAAATCTTACAAAGGCCTTCTTTAATTGATAATGGCAATGTTCTGGGCTCACAAACATCAGGTCTGGACCAAAATAAGGGAATTATTTACCTAAATGTTGTATGGAAATGTGTATTTGTGATATTCATCTGCTTTTATAGCTGGCAGCAAATGGATCTCATCTTCTGGTTCACAAGATTTGGAGCATTGTTGACACACTGGAGTTCCAACAGAATCCTTAGCTGAGAGCAGGCATATGAAGCTGTATCTTGCAGCAGCACCTAGGAGTGCTACAGTACCTTTATGTCACCTTTGCCTCTGTGCATAAGGGTCATTCCGTACAGGACTGATTACTCAGGATAATTTAGCATTGCAGATATGGCAAACTAGATGTTGTAACACAGCCTTACTCATGGTCTGTTTTTTTGACTGTTCAATCACTTGACCACTGCCTGCAGTGAAAGATTTATTTAAGCCGCATATATAGATATTTTATATATAACTAATATAAGGCACGTACAGCGTTTGATTAGGAAGAAATCAGAGAAAGAAAATATTTGGGACATCCAGGATTGCGTTCTACAACATATTTCCTAAATTTTGCTATTTAGTTCTAAACATCTCAAGTGATGGTGCAATTTGTCTTGAGATATACTTCCAGACTGTTACTGTTTTCCTTGGCTGCTTTCCTTTTCTCATTTAATCCCAGCAATTTTAGCCTGTAAACAGGACAGTAAGCCATGTAAAGCTAATTCACTATTACAAATAAAATGCTGTTTGGAAAGTGTTTTGGTTATTTGCCATGCAAAGGTTTACCTCATGTCTATGATTAATGCATCTGTGTGAACAATTTTCTTCCAAACATGCTCTACCAGTAGGTCGGACACCTGGGTTAGAAGTTCACAGTCTCCAAACATATCAAATCTCAGATAGCCGATGTTGTTTTCAAATACATTTGTGTGGAATGAAAATTTAATCAGATCTTCAAATACTTCCGGGGAAGGGATCTGAAAGAGTTTGGGAAAACAAAACAAATCATTTGCTGGCACTGATAGCTTGGCACAAGATTTAAAAATAATTATGTGGATCAAGTTTAGTTCAGGTGGGATATATGTGAGGAATATGACCAAGTTAGAGGAATATAATAAATAATATTCATACTTTTGCATATTAAACATAGGTTAGCATTGGCTGCTGCATTGCTTTCCCAGCATAGGGTGCATCAATAACATGCCCAGAACCTGGATCAGGCACCTATTTGTCAGGGCTCAGTTTATTTTTCAAAAATACAGGAATTTCCTTGGATCAAACAAGCTGAGAAGGCTACAAGAACCATCCCCCAGCCTGCAGCATAGGCCATTATCCCAGGCCTGCTACCCAAACCCACTTGCTTCCTTCAGCAGTTCTTTCTAAATAAGGCTCCACTCTAAATAAGGACTTTTATAATCTCTTGATTAGCCTCAGCTGACAAACAGCTGCTGGTTACAGGTGAGGTTGGCCCCAGCCCCTTTTGATTATCCAGTGCCTCTGACAGTGAGAAACCCGATGTGTTGGGCATGTGCTAGGATACTCAGGAGGTAGACGTGTTAAATCTCTCTTACGGTGGACATGTGCTCAGAGTCTCACGTGTTAGTCTGTGATTAGTTTAATTTTGTTTAGCTTATGTTATTAAACAGCAGAATTTTTTAGCAGCGATGTGTAGCCAAGTAATAAAGTTATCCTAGTAACCCCTGCATGTATCGGGACTTAGCCTGCTCCTATTGCCAAACTTCTGTTTTGCATACATGTGTCTGAAAACTCTCCTTCAGCTTAAGAAGAAAAGTCTTTGGGATATATATGATTTATGTGACCTTCAGCAGTTTGGCCTCTTCTCTTCAGGCTGGCTGTGAAAACTATTTTATACTTGTTTTTAAATCAATTGCCCTCTGCCATAGCTCAGCTCCAGACAACCCATACTTTTACATCCCAAAGAACAAGGAGTCATCAGTGAGCCATGTGCCAAAAGGTGTTCTCCCAATCTGCAACATACCCTACAATTTGGAAGGCACTTGGGCTTTTTCTGCAGCTGTAGAGGAGTCAGGCAATCTGCTGCCCTACGTGTAGTGCTCTGGTCTGGGGATGTGCTCCTACCAAAAGCAGGTCTGCCACAGCAGAAAGAGGGTTTCCAAGGTGTGTGAATGCAGCTGTATTTGACATAGCTCAAGCACTTTACCTGGGGGAAAATTGCCCACCAAATCACGCTTCCAGCTGCCCTGAGATTCTTCATGATTCAGTGCCTTCTGTATGCCAAAATTTCAAACATTAATTTAAAAGCCCTATTGGCCAGTAGTTGACCTGATGCTAACAGCAAACTTCACTGAGTCCTTTTCTGTATGCTTCTTTCTCGCTGTACCTTGTGGAAATAACCATTATATCTGGACTGTAAACATATCAGTCCAGCACTACTGAGTTTGTCATTTCCAATCCACTTCCCAGTGACAGCAATGCTACTTGATCTGTCCACTGTACTTTGATTAACAAATCAGTTTTGAAGAATATATCCAGCATGCATTGCATTGTTCTGATAGAGCTTATATCTAGTTCAGAGGTACTGGTCCCCCCAGGAGAAAAAAAATCATCACTCATTGGTAACATCTATAAATAAAACTGTTGTGTTACTTTCAGCCATTTACTAATGATATTTTAACTGAACACACATTTCTTAGTTCTATCTCCAACAGTAATTGCTAGATGCATACCCATTAGCATGTTGATTAAGAATAACCTCTTTGTCTATGTCTGGTAATTTTTTTTCCAACTTGTTCTTTTACTGTGCTGCATCACATGTTCACTGAGGACTTTAGTACTTGTTAGCAGTGTTGCTAATTTTTGAAAATTCATTACAGATTTCAAGATGGGCAGGTTGCTTTTAAAGACTTGGGACTCATGGGGTAAAATTAATATACAAGGATCCCAAAGAAACTCTTCGTCTTCATGTTTGAAGGGAAGGTATGGAAATATATCAATTCTGAAGGCTTTAGGAGCAGAAGTTATGAAAATGTAATTTTGGGGCAGTGGGGAAAGCCTCCTAATTTTTAAGCAAAAGAGGTGAGTAGGCTGGACCGACAGTAGAGCATTACTATCCTCAAAAACCACAGTTTCATGACACTGGCACATAGGCCATGTGCTGCCAGTACTTAAGGAGGTAAGCCTAGCTTCAGAGAGCAGTAGCACACTCTTCTTTGGAAGGCAAGACTGTTTGCTGGAGAAGGACAAGCTGGGACAGGATGCAGCTGAAGGTAAGACCTTGCTGCTCAGTCAAGCGATGTTTACATACAAATTACTTGATGTTAAATACAAACCCTTAGGTGCCTTAGTAAAAATACTATAAGCAATGTGGCTAGACTAAAGTATCTCCAAGCTAACACCACTTAAGCCAAGGAAAAATTGTTTTTTCTTAACTATATAGGGTCTCTAGCCCTATTCTGCAGTCTCCTTCCACAGGTGAGTGGCCTAACCGGAATAAGTGATGTGACACAAAATAGGAGCTAGAATGTTGCCTTAGGACTCATACATGGAGTTTCATCCCTGAATCTGCTACTGACACATACCCCAACCATAGGCAAACTACTTTCCTAACTGTGTATCTCTTAGCTCTTTTCTTCCTTTTCACCTCTCCCCTAACTTGTTCTATCTATTTAGATAGAGACTGTATTTTCATACCTAGTTTTGTGCTGAGCACTGCAACATAACGCTGTTTTACGTTAAGGTTGCTAGTACTGTCAGCTGCCAGCTGTTAAAACGTTATCAGCCAACATCCTTGTGCCATTGCAAACTCTGAGATTGGTTTAAGAACCATGAGATCTTGGGGACTGAGTGGCAGAGTTGTGCCGTTCTTTCTTGGAATAGCATTTGGGTTCTGCACAGGCTGGAATGGAACTGTCCATCCTTGTAGGTCTCCCAGCTCAAGGACTGAGCAGGATCAGCTATATCACTGACAGCCAATTCTCACTTGCTCTTAAAAACACCCATATCACTGGGTGATTTCTGGGCAATTCAGTCTAGTACGTCACCAGTCTTACTATTACAAAGATGTTTTTAACATCTAGTGTAAACAGTCTAAGTTCACTACTTTCCACAGTTTAAATGCATTCCTTCTTGGCCTGTTTACCATGGATAAGGGAACAGATTATTCTCCTCATGTTTGAAACAGCCTGTTACGTATCTGAGGACCATTCTAATGTCTTCTCTCAGTTTTCTTCTTTCTGGAATAAACAACTCAAAACTTTTAAACTTTTTCAAGATTACTCTTATTCAGTCTTCTCTTTACTCCTGTTCCCCTTTTCTGCTGTCTCCCCACTTGAGGAACATCTTTCCAGAAAAACATTGCCCAAGACTGCACATTATATACTCTAGCTGAATTTTCTTTAGAGCTGAGTGTAGCAGACTTCACATATTTTACTGATTATATTCCTCCTTATCCATTCCAGTTTGAGGATTATTATTTTTTACTGCAACAACTTGACTCTATTAACTTGTGTTCAGCTTATGAACTCTGAAGAACCCATATACTTTTTTAACACGACTCCCCACAAACAAGCTGTTTTCCTCCCAGAGCTACGCAGTCAATTACTATCACCCTAGAAACTGTGTGAGAACCCTGCATGTGTTCTTATTTAACCTCATCCGTCTTTTCAGAGATCATTTCTCCAGTTTTTTCCAGAAATATAGCTCTGAATTCTAATCCTGCCCTCCATTGTACCAAGACAGCCAGGACTGGGGGGGAGGTTACCACAAGCAAAAGCTGAAACCCGCTGGGACAGTGCTGTGGAAAGGATTAAAAGAGGTTATTCAAGGCTTTCAGCCTCCATTGAGGGAGTACAGGGCAGAGTGAGAGCTGTACTTTCACCCTGCAAAGGATGGCACTACAAAGCGGTGTGTAAGCCTGCTCTGACAATACACATACTCATTGCAAACCACTGAACTATCATGAACATGAACTAAAAAAGGTGAAGAGTCAGTGACAGTTAAACATGAGTCATCATTTTGGCTTGCATGAACTTCTGCAGTTCCACTGACTTTACTGTGGTTATGTTGATATATATCAGCATCATATGGGCCCACAACAATTTTGTTCCACCTGTTAGCAACAGGTGTAGAAATTTTATTATCCATCTTGACACTTTGAGGCTGAGTATTTTGATTTCACTCATTTATGAAGGGACATAATCAAACTATGCTACTTTCTGGTGAAACATCTGTAACTATTTTCTCCTTCAGCAAGTACAATACTCTGCTATAGATAGATATTTTTTTATCTGAGAAAAGGACTTCAAATGGAGGAACAATTTCTCTTTCTAAAGGAATAATTTTCGTCTTCTACTCTGATCATAATTTAGAACTTCTTATCTAAAATATTAATACAAAAATTCTCTTCAGTATGAAGACTGCAATCAAAGTATTTGGACAGTATCAAGGAGTCAAAAGAGTCATTCAGGGAGAGTACTGTCACTTAAAATTAACATAACCACATTTGCTAAAATCAGGCAGCAGTTCTTCTATATGTAGCCAACATTACTCAGATATTCATGAACACAAATGTTTCAGTATGGGAATTAAGGTATGACTGGAGAGAGGCAAACAGAGGAATAAGAAGTATGAATTATTGAACTGCACATCAGCAAGTTTACAGAGTTCTGCCTTATAGGCAAAATGCTATTTTCTGAATCACAAACAATGTATAAAATATTTGCCTCTGGGAAGTCTGACTTTGGAAATGGCATTCATGCGGCAGACAACTCCAGCTAGCATTGACCTTGCTGCTATCATAAAGGAGACATATTCAGTACCCATATTATGCTTCAGCAACTATTCCAGTGTAGCAGATGCAAAGGTCTGCATACATTTCACTTGTCTGTCTGCTGTGTCCCATCTCATCCTTCTTGCAGTTATTCACCATCACTTTCATTTAATTGTGTTGGATCTGCTTCACTGTCAAGGTCATTATAAAGAAAATCCCACTGTCAAGGGAAAGGGTGGCTTGGAAGGTAGGTAGCACAAGAGAAAAACTAGCTTTTAGGTGTTGGAGGAATAAATGTGATACAGATTAAAAAAGCCACCTTGTCCATTATAGAACTGTAAAAAAACCCAACCAAAAACTCAAATGCAATTAGTGTCATCATATAAGCTTCAGTGTAATCTTACGGCATTTGCTCTCTGGGTTATTGGAAGGGGGTATTCCTGAAATATTAAACAGAAAGCACCCCTCTTGGCCATGCAAAAGCAAGGCAGGAAATGAAAATACTTTTGCTGCCCAGTGGTGAATATGTGGAATAGGTGAATTTTCTTTTACCTCTATCAAAAGGAAAAGCCTTTACTTCAGTAACTTCAGTGTCTTCATTCACTCACTCTCTTTCACCTTAAAATGTTTTAACACAGCTCTCTTGTCCCTGTCTCTCAATTTCCTCAAGCACTGGAGGGAATGCATAGGTCTTTGGAAACTATTTTAGCCTCATAAGAGACCCATGCTTCTCCTCTGCTATTTGTACATTACTCCCCTTGAAGAAATCTCACATTTGTCCTGATTTTCATGTACACTGATGTGATCTCTTTCTTACATATGTATTCCCAATATCTTCCAATCATTTTGCTTGACAAAGAACTGAGGTAAACATAGGCATTAATCAGTATAGTAGCTTTTTCTCACCAGCTCTATTAGGATCAGAATTTCATGTCATTTGACAAATAAGGTATTTGTCCTGCATATCCTGTTCTCAACATTCAAGGTCTGAATAAGGGTTTAAAATGGCCTACAATATCTATTAACAGCCTTTCAGTGAAAGCAGTGACTAATTTGCAAGATTGGCCTACACTGTAAAATGGGAAGAAATTATGATCTATCACTACTGATATGTTGGTAATAATTTAGCAGGGAGATCTGTCAAAAACATTCTTAGAGTAAAGCTTTCTACAGCTGAGAAATGTAGGCAGGAAAAAGAATGATGAAATAGAAAAAATATTTAATTAATTAATTATTTCAATTTAAGCCTAGAGGCAAGAATGGGGCCAGCATCTCTTGGTTAACAAACTTGAAAAACATGCCTTCCCCGGCAATGTTTAGACTTTGTCCTTGAACTTAATGTTGGAGATAACACCACAAAGGTCATGCTCACTTTAAATCATGCATACCAAGAACTTCAGAGGGTGGAAGCCCACAGATTTCCCCCCCCAGAAAACATTTAAGCTACCTGACACTTGGTATACTCTGGTTCATTGCAAAGGCAAATGCATTCTCTTCAAAAAGCAATTTTATAAATCCCTAGAGAAAAGACGTCTCTGATAGCCACACTAGAGCAGCAGGCAAAAAGAGGTTACTCCATGCAAGAAAGGGATCAGGTTATCCTAACCCTCCTTTAATTTGAAGATGGGATTTTAGCAAGTGCTCCTGGGAGCTCTCGCCAGCACAACAATGGACAAGAAAGACTGCCAAGGCAGACCAGTGCATAAATACCCAGGATCAGAACAAAGTACAGACTGTTACGCAAACCACACAGCATGGGCAAAAGTAGGTTATTAAAAATCAATTTCTCCCTGGGGTCACATAACTTCACACAGATACTTCTCCTAAAGTATTTCTAGGTCACTGGGAAACTGTCTGATGCTGAGACTGAGATACAATCAGAAAAACTTTCCACTATCACTACCAAAGAAGCTGCTTGTTATTCTTGTGTAATATAAGTCAGGTACAATAATTTTATATAGAAAAATCCATTGAAAAGTATGTGGCTGAATGTTTTGTGGTGTATGCATGTACCCTGGTCCAACCAAATTTTTCTTAAATTACAAACTTGGTTTGTAATCAGTGGGATTCTGCATTAATTTGTTATAGCTTGAAAAGCCATAGCACTGAAAGAGAGGATTACAAAGACAATGAGGTATCTTCCCTTTAACCATGAAGCCCGGCATATTTGCTTGTGCAGATGGCAACTGAAAGAAATTTAGAGCTTGAATGTTGTTCCCAAAATAAATGCATCCAGAACTATCATCTACTACCACAATATACTACCCTGACTTTCCTCCAAAATACACTCAGTCACTCACTTTTCTTCTGGGTACAGGTAAATCATGGTGGGTTTATGATATGGCCTAGAAACAAGATGTCTGACACAGTGCTCCCATTAGTTGGCATCAGCATAGCTGGATTCAAGAGAACTGTACCTGTTTTGGTGTGATCCCTGGGGTGCTGTCCTTGGCATGTTGAGGGATGTAGAGTAATTTCAGGTGCTCATCATCGGAAAGCGCTTGCAAGTTGGCAGTCACCTTCCTGGCCAGCTCCTCTTCTGTATTAACCCTTCTAAAGCTGTCTTTGTTGATGTTCTTGGTGAGGTTTAATGCTATAACAGCCCCAGCATTCACAAAGGCATAATTATCTGCTACAAGCTTGCCTACAGTTTGCAATGTCTGTGGCACCTGGGCACGCAGACTGGCAATTTGCTGAGCTACAGACACAGCTTCATTGGCCTGGACGGTGATATGTGGCTCCACCCCAGACACACTCCACACTTTGCCGGTGACTGGGCTGAGCACTACTTGGCTGGGGATGGAGGCATATAGGGAACTGTTACCAACACGATAAATGCCCACTGAGAGAGAACCACCTACTGTAGGCTCACCAATAACTGTGGCGCGGTATAGATCCTTCATAGAGCGAGTGAAAGCTTCAGCTGCTGACCCACTCATATGGCTTGTTAGGATGTAGATGTCCTTGAGAGAGCCATACCTCTTGCCTGTGACTTGTGGGAGAGTCCATACCTCTGTGCTGTGTGAGGTACTACGATCAAAGATGGTGTAGAGGTGTTGCTGAGGCTCAGACTCAAAGAAGTAGGAACAAAGTATTGGAATGGCAGTGGAATAACCACCTGTGTTGTACCTCATGTCAATAATCATGGCATCTGTGTCCACCAGCTTGTTCCACACCATTTGCAACAGCTGGGGCCCAATGGCCTTCACTGTTTCTGCCTCAGCCATCATATCAAAGCGAAGGTAGCCCAGGTTGCCTGGCAATACCTCAATTTTGAAGAGTGCCTCAATGATGTAGCTCAGCTCCTCAGGGCTGGGACTCATGCTGGGAAGCTGCTCTTCTGGTGTTGGTTCCACATGGCTGTGGAAGACATGAAGCCGATGGTCCCCTGAGGCCTCCTGCAAGTCACTGGTAAGCTGGGAAGCCAATGTCTCAAAGTCTACAGCTGATCGATAACCTCCTTGGGCTTGTTTAGTGCTCAGCATATCACTGGCCTTACCAGCCACTTCTGGGATGGCATAGTGAGCCTCTAGGAGTTGTCCGGTACTTTCCAAAAGTACTCGCATATTCTTGTGGAAAGCTAGCACCTCTACAGCCTTCTCCAGTGCATCCTCAGCCAACACTATGGCATCAGGCACAACTCCTCCACCCATCCAGCTTTCGCCATGGTTGTCAATGAAGGTAATGACAGGAACTGTGATAGTCAGGCCACAGGTTATTCCCTGCTCAGGCTGCAGAAGAGGGAAGGTACGGGTGTGTGAGAGGCTTCCTGCTGTGATCTCACCAATCAGTGTGGCACGGCCCAAGGACTGCATGAGGTAAGCAAACTCCTCAGCAGCTGTAGCAGTGTGGCGGCTGGTGAGCAGGTAGATGCCACGCTGAGCCCCATAGGGCTGGCCCAGAAGTTCTGCCTGACTGTTGTGCTCCTGTGTGTGGTTGGTGCGCCTGTCATAGGTTGTGAAGAGATGGACAGGACCAGCAGCAGGATCTTGGAAATAGGAGAGTAGCACAGGCACAGCAGAGGAGGAAGGGCCCCCTGGGTTGTAACGTAGGTCCATGATCAAGTTTTCTGTATTTTGGAGGGGCTCCCACACTTTGTGGACAATGTAAGGTCCCAGCTTAGCAAGCACAGAGGCATCTGCAAACTCATCAAAGCGCATGTAGCCAACATTGCCTGGCAACACTGACACCTTGAAGACAGTATCCACTAAGGCATGCAGCAGTTGCTCATTGTCAGGTAAGTTGGCTGCCAGTGCAATTGGCTTCTCAGCAGGGGGGACAGCAGCTTCACCTGGCATCAAGACTCGGACCAACAGGCGGGGGTCTTCAGATAAGGTCTGCATCTCAGAGTTGAGCTTGGTGGCCAGGTCCTCTGCTGACTGCACAGAAGAGAAGTCAGAGGTGCTGAGGTGCTGCAGCAGCGCTGGCACTCGGTCCACTAAGCTGTAATAGTCATTTAGTATGTTTGTGAGGTGGCTTAGGGTGCCAGGCACTGCTCTGCGTACTGCCAGGATGTCCAGGGATTTCTGTAAGGCTTGCTCTGCCTCAGTAGCCACACATGGCATCACCCCACTCACCTCCCAGCTCTGTCCGCCCCTACTCAAGGGGCTCACAGATCGTGACACAGGAACCATTATGTAGAAATTGGAGGGGCCAATACGCAGCTTCTGGATGTCCAGTGAGCCCCCAGCTGTCTTCTCCCCAACAGTGATAGCCCTGTTCATGTGCTTGAGAATGTAAGCCACATCTTCAGCCACTCCTGTGGTGTGGTGGCTGATCAAAACAATGACATCCTTGTCTTTGCTGTACCTCTCTCCCAAAACCTTTGGAAGTGTCCATATCTCTGTGGTGGTGTTGGAGGGCCGATTGTATACAGTCTCAACATGTAGCATCTTGTCTGCTTCATGCAAGTACGAAATGATGAAGGGGAGGCCAGAAATCTGTCCCCCGGTGCTGTGACGAAGATCTATCACCAAGGCAGATGTCTCTATCAGTGTCTTCCACACCTTGTCCACCAGAAAAGCTCCAACTTTCTGCACAACTTCCTGTCCTATGATATAATCAATCCTCAGGTATCCAACATTGCCCTCTAGCTTGTCATACATGACCACATGCTCAATAAGACTAAGGAGTTGCTCACGAGTGGGGGAAGCTTCAGCTTCTTGACTGGGATCTGCATGTGGTGATGGCTCATAGGAAATCACCAGTCTTGGGTCATTCAGAGCACCCTGCACACCAGCTGTCAAAACACTGGCCAGCATTTTTGGATCTGATATGTCCAGGATCTCCCCACTCTTGATTGCTTGTTCAATGGCTTCTTGCATGCCCACTAGGTTTTCAGGATAGCAGTAGTTATCCAGAAGGACTTTAGCCATGTCCAGCACTAGAGTTGGCTGAAAGATTTCCTCGGCAGGTATGCTGAATATGATCAGTGCTGAATACAGAAATAAATGTGCCTGGATCATTTTGTCTTCGAATGGAATAGAAATGAAGGAAAGAAGTCAGAAGCTCTTATTGATCAAGATGAATGTAACTCTCCAATGACTCTCTGTTCATGGATCACGCTGAAATCCCTGTGTTGAATCCAGGCACACTGAACAGATAAAAACCTTTTAACCGCGTTAAACCTTTAATCTCATTAAAATGGAGTGCATCATCTGAAGTGCACCAATAGATGAAGTTCAGCTAGCTTGTTACTACTTCACAGCTCTCTTATGAAACAGTAATAAACTTCAGTCATCAAGGATAATCTTTCTGCATCAGTTAATTATTTCCAAAAGGTACTACATTGCCTGTTATCAATGTCCTGGCTTATCCTGACAGTGGATTTCTTAAATGCAAATCTTGGATTTCAACCACAATTAGAACAGCAGTCATCCAGTCTTTTACCATTATTTATGGAAAGCTTATACCAGGAGATTCTTCAGTGACTTCGTTGTATCAATGTTCAATTTTTTTTCAGAAGTTGTTGACAATATATTGTCTTTGGTGTTTTTCAGTCTGAGCTGCAAAGGATTGTTCTTGCATTCTATGACTAAGGGCTCCAAACAAGGAACTCCAGACATTTAAAACAGCTTATAAAATCCAAGGTAATGACAGCTTGTTAATTTCTGTGCTGAGAATTGCCAGCATGTTAAGCAGAACTTTGAAATACATTTGCCTCAACATAATACAGCTAAATCTGAGGTGACTTTAATCTTCATAATTTGCACTCAATTAGGATTTACTTGTAATGCCATTGAGTAACATATGGTCATGTCTGATGACAGCTTCCAGCCAATAGACTTTAGGCTCAACACACCAAAATAGAATGTGGGGGATTGCTTTCTTCTGTTCACAGTGTATTCAAGACCCTATTGTATTAAGAGTTTGAAAGAGGATCAGAACATGCAGGATGAAGCTGCAGGCTGTACCCATGTGAGCTGTCAACATTCAGAGCTCCAGTATGACACACCAAAGATGCACAAGAACAGATTCTTGGCTTTAAGTCTGAAATGAGCTGCCACCCCCGTCATTCTGCTTGCTGGAGGTAGCTGCAAGAACAGACTAGGGAATTTGTGAGAAGCATGTTTTTGTATTGTTTTCAAAATGTCACTTATTCCTTCATATGAATACATGTGGAAGGAAGAGCCTAAAGATGGTCTATCCTGGCTGGGTGCAGTGTGGCTGTCCTGTGTAAGTATCATGTGTGAAGCTTGCCACTTACTTGAGCAAAGCTTAGGCAATTTCCTCTTTCTAGGTTACTCAGTTGTAGTAATAAAAGAGCTTTGTGAAGTTCCTTCCTTTAATATTTCTGTTGGAATGGCCTTTTCTAAATGTGCCGGTACATTTCATCCCATGGTTGATTTGTATCTGTATGTTTGTAAATGTATAAATGTAAATCCATCAAGGGGAACAGTTAAATTGTTCTAAGAGTCCATTAGAGAAAGGACTGCTCTATGGCAAAAGCTGTAAAACCTGATGTAATCACAGGGATCTCTGGCAACCAGGATGTGCCATCACCTGTAAGAAACAGCAGTTTAAAAAATATTCCCAATTCCCTTGTCAAAGGAAGAGGCCTAGAATATATTTTAAACTGTTGATAATGTATAAATAAGTAATTAAGCTCCAAGTTCTGTTGAATCTTCTTAATTTTGGGGGATGGTTCTATATTGTGACAATGTGTGACATCCATCACAACCTAACTCAAGGGCAATATCACCAGTTTGTATTGATCTTCTTGCTTTTTTTCAGCAAAGAATAATCCAGCACTCCAGGTCAAAGGCAGCTGGAATAAAAACTCTCCAGCATAACCCCACTTTGTCTAGAAATGGTCTTTTGAGTCCCAAGATTTACTGCCAGAGTTGCACCAAATCCTCATGTGGCAAATACAGTGGACAGGACCCTGGTCAAATTGATCTCTATTGCTTTTCTTACCCATGGCTCTTCTGTCTGTCTAGCTTGAAAAGGTTTGGGGGCAAGGAATCTCTTTTGCTACTTTAATGTCTGCTACATTCTCTGCATTTACTTCCAACCTCTGGTAGTGTCTCTAAATGCCATTACCACAGGAATAATTGCACACACCATAATGTATGTTAAGACAATCAATTCAACGGATGAGACGTGCTTTATGAATCCTCAGCTTACTTCTCTGTGCACTGACTAAGGCAGGGGACGTCTGAAATAAAAACCATGAGCTGTGAGAACTAGATGATCTTAAGGCCCTTTCCAACCCTAACTATTCTATGATTCTATGATTCTATGACCAAGAGTGGGATGATGAATAGATCATCTTAATTCTGACATTTCTCACTTTGGAGAGCTTAACATTTTGATGTCACTTGTATTTTTTGTGTGTTCCAATGCCTTTCCATTAACTTGGAAGGGAAGATACAGTTTCATTTTGTTATGATGAAGAAAAAATTGTAATTATAAAGAAAACATATGTATGATCTAAAACAACAAAGTAAAAATGTGTAAACATGGAAGGGTTAGATATTTCATCTGCTCAGCTAGGGGGCTGGGTGGTTCAATGGGTCCCCTTTTTGTTTCTTATTTCTTTCTTCCTTTTACTCCTGCTGGGTGCTGGAGGAGGGCATGCCCAGGGGCCAAGGAGCAGGGTTACAAAATGGACCCATTGTGACAGAAACTGGGAAAAGTAGTACAATAATCCATGTTCCTAAGAATATGTCAGGATGGATCACTATTTCTGTCTGCCTCTTCAGTAACTTTAAGAATGCAGCTTTCCATCCCAGAAAAAAAGAATGACACTGCATGTTTATGGAGTATACATTTTACTTTCTTTTTTAATTCTTCAGTACACAGTACATAATGGATACTTCTATTTATATGAAACTATTTACCAAGTATGGGATAATGGTAGAAATAAGGTAAAATTATTTACCATAAAAATTAGAGAAATTAATATTTTCTGTAATTCTTGAAAGTAATTCCATTATGCTGTTTAAATCACTGCAAGTCTTCATTTTTTTAGAAGGACCTTCTTTTTCACTGTATTGTTCTCTGTCCTTTTCTGCTTTTGGAACAGAAAATAATGAAACAACAGGCATTTTTCAAATTACTTCAGTTTCAACTTGCTGTGCAAAGGGTATTATAGGGTGTTACAGATGTTATACATGAGGTATCAACAATAACCTCATCTTACTCTGAATGTAACAAGCACAGATGAATTTCCATGAAGATCATATTCAGAAAGAAGACAGTAACAGACAATTATTAGCGTTTTTATTCAGGGCATGTGCCAGCTAATTACCTTCCATATCTAAAAGAGTTCTATATATCCACTGCTAAAGTCATTGTGTGATAATTTCTTTTCCTAGCATCTAAGAAAGTATTTCCATGGATTCACAATACTCTTCTCCAGTGAGGCCTTATCTAAACATTAAAACTCATGACATGTCAAAAATCATGAAATGTCCCTTTCCTGCATCTGATCGTAAAATCATAAGACTACAAAAAGAATTTTTTTTCTGTTTTTCTAATATTTATTGTGCATTTTATCATGTTCCAAATATTTTCCTATCAGGACTAGAAGCTGTAGCTGAGGTTTTTACGAAGCTAGGGTTTTGAGAAATACATACATGATTTTGATTAGTTATACTCAGTAAAAGCCAAGATACGGCAACACTCCACAGATCAATTTATTCCTCAAGTTCAGATACATATTCTTCCTCATGCACTTTATCATTAGCACACAGAAACAAATCTAGGTTCACAATGAAAATGTAAAACAAATGTTTTTTCCACCATTATAGAATCATAGAATCATACAATCACAGTATAGTTAGGGTTGGAAAAGACCTTAAGATCACCTACTTCCAACCCCCCCTGCCATGGGAAGGGACACCTCACACTAAACCATGTCGCCCAAGGCTCTGTCCAACCTGGCCTTGAACACCACCAGGGATGGAGCATTCACAACTTCCCTGGGCAACCCATTCCAGTGCCTCACCACCCTTACAATAAAGAACTTCCTCCTTATATCCAATCTAAACTTCCCCTGTTTAAGTTTTAACCCGTTACCCCTTGTTCTGTCACTAGAGTCCCTAATGAAGAATCTCTCCCCAGCATCCTTACAGCCCCCCTTCAGATACTGGAAGGCTGCCATGAGGTCTCCATGCAGCCTTCTCTTCTCCAGGCTGAACAGCCCCAACTTTCTCAGCCTGTCTTCATACAGGAGGTGCTCCAGTCCCCTGATCATCCTCGTGGCCCTCCTCTGGACTTGTTCCAACAGTTCCATGTCCTTTTTATGCTGAGGACACCAGAACTGCATAGATGCATAGCTTAGAAAGCTCGTACAGCGGAAACCAGTATTTTTTCACACTGGATCTGTTCAGTGATCTATTTCTCTTGCCCTGAATTCAGTATGACATGTATCACTCACTACTACCATGGTAATTCTTTACAGATGGTTTCCCTGTGTGGTGTGGATTCTTCACACTTTGGAGAATGACTATTTACTTACTCATTTCTTGATACATATAGTTTAAATTTTTATCAAACATATTGTTTAATGCAAGTCTGTTCACTGAACTCTGAGTACCTAAATCCAAAAAGTGACTGTACCATCATTTCTAATTTTTATGTAACCCAAGCCAAATTCCTATTTTGATTGTAGTTTTGAGCTAAACTCAATAGCTCAGGCCTAGCTCTAGCTTTTATAACTCATAAAAATTTATTAACCTTTAAAATTTGTCCACAAGTATTTCATTTTCTGACTTCCTGTGGGTATGAACTTCCACACACTGTGATATTTTCTTTTATCTGCCCCAGACTAGTCTGTATGCATGGACTGCATCATTCAGATCACATGCTAAATAGTTTCCACAAGAGGGAGATTAAATGTTTTGCTATATGTTTTTTGTTTTATAGATCTTGTTCCAGTTCTCCATGGTTCTCATCTGCGGCTGATCTCATCGTTCCCCGTATAGACCATTTGGACACCAACAAGCTACAGTAGCAGGAG